TCTGTGCCGCCTGGGTGCCCGCGCTCTGCGCGACCCCCGACTGCGCCAACGCCCCCCAGTCCCGGACGTCGCGGTGGCGCTTCCGCGAGCGCCCGGCGGGGCAGCTGCGGTGGGACCGCTGGGTGCGGGGCCGCCGCGCCGACTGGTAACTGGAACCGGGCAGTGGCCGCTGGGCGATCTGCTCTGACCTCTTCGCTCCCGCCGGTTTTGACGTCTCTTCCGTGATTTAGAAGAACCTGCGATTCTCCCGGCGTCTGAGGCTCCTGGCGGGCGCCGTGCCCACCCAGCACCACGCGTCCTCCCACCACCTACGCGGTGACAAGAGGGGGACCAAGCGGGCGACCCAGAAAAGGGAGGAGAGCCCCAGGCAGTCAGGGTTCCGAGGCCGCCTGGATTCAGCCTCCGGGGCACTCCTCCCCCTCCAGGCCAGGAAGAGGGCTGCAGCTTCACAGGTAAAGGGACGCCCGGGAGCCCACCAGGGTCGCCGAAGGCCCTCAGCCTGTGGCTAGGCTCCTCCATTTAGTGTCACCTTGGGAAAATCACCGCACCTTTAAAGTTTCTGTTGGCTTATCTGTAAAATTAGGAATGTGCTTTGAAGATGATATCCAAGATCCTATGTAGCTTTAATACTTTGGAATTACAGTTCTTTCCACCAACTCCTCCCTCAAAAACCCACACAAGCCAACACTGTTGTCCTTAAGATTGTAAAATCGCCTTCACGTCGGCTCCAGAGTTTTTAAATAGGAGTTTTATTTGAGCAAATCTCGAGGAATGGGGCGCTCGAAACTTTTTTTGCAAAACATTGCGAAAGACAAACTTGAGGAAATGCCTGTTACACCTGTCAAAATTATGGGGGAAGGGGATTTCTGATAATCCCTTCCCACTCTTAAACTTCCCTTTACTGGCACTAGCTGCCTTTAAGTTAAATGATCCTAGTAAGCTGAATTTCACACATCTTGCCTGCATCTGCCTTCTGCCTTTATCCTTATAAGCCATCTGGTCACTACCATCCTCTTCCTCACTTCCCTTCTTAAAGATTTCCCAGCCTTCTTTGAGATAATGAAACTTCAGCCCTATCACCATTACATAGATTAAATTATAATTCTTAATTGGATCTAAACATTATTCATTTCTACAAATGGGAAGAGTTCACCAAATGTGACCTGTGTGTCAGATGGGTACTAGACTTATGGAGTGATCACTTCATAAGTTATATAAATATTTAATCACTATGTTGTACACCTGAAACCAATATAATATTGTATGTCAACTATAAAAAAAATTTTTAACTTAAATTTTTTTTAATTTATAATTATATTTTTAATATATATTTTTTCATTGCTGACAGTATTACAGTGTCCCCCATTTTCTCCCCCTGCCTCCCTTCACCCAGCCCCTGCCCCACCCCAGGCCTTCACCACACTATTGTCTGTGCCCATGTGTTATGCACATATGTATATATAAGTTCATTTTAACTGACATTTTGGCTTTGAATATACAGAAGTATTTATAGAATTTTAGAGCTGAAGGAAACCTTAGTGCTTATGTAGTCCAAATTCACAATTTAGGCATGAGAAAGCCATTCCAGGAGGAGAATAATTCCCTCAAAGGCCTGTAATCCTTGACTTGCCAGACCAAAACTCTTTGTGCAATACCAACCTACTTCCTACACTGAAGTGGTTGCTTAAGACCCTTTTTTTAATGGCATCCTGCAATTATTAGGATAAAAAACAAAATTATTAACCCAATAGACAAGTCCTTGAGTGCATTTTGTTCCTGCCTACCACACCAGTTCTATCCAAGACCACTGTCCTTGTTGCTCACTATACACTAGTCATGCTGATCTTTTCAATTGTTTCATAGAATACCCTGGAATTATGCCCCTCCGATTCACCATCATCATCAAGTCCTTTTATTTAAAAACCAGATCAAACATCCTTCCCCTAACTATGTTTTCCCATTCTTTATATATGTTATGTGCTTCAATAGCATATGTACTTCGTTAGCATTCATCACAATTGTCATGAAATAATTGTGTAGTTTGCTTAATGTTTGTCCTTCACATTAGAATGTAAGCTCCATGAGAGCAGGTATCATATCTGACTTGTTCATTATTATACTGCCAGTACCTAGAACAATATTTTGGAAATTTAAGGAATTCAATAAACATTTATGGAATGATTATGTGACTGTAAGAACAATTTTTGTACTATAATAGAATTTTCAGTTCTCTGCCAGTTTTCCTTCTCATCAAGCTATATGCCACTCAAGACATTTGTCCTTACCTTTAATCATCTATCCACCATCACTGCCTATCCACCCTTTACCCAAGCACATTTATGTACATCTATATGTAGATAAATATAAATATTAAGTGAAAGAGATAAATATTAAACGTGTCACACATGCATACACCATTTTTCTTCCCCGTACCAGAAAAAGCCAGGCTAATGAAACAACCAAGATTTTATAAAATAACAAAGGCTAACTATTGAGCAATCCAGAAGAGGTACCAAATCTACTTTTCTGTTAATAAGTATTATCTAGCCAACGTATCTCACAACCCATATTACATTAATATAAATGCAGAGTTATTAGGAAACTATGCATGGATTTTAATAATAATTACTTTAAAAGTGTATAAGGTTTTAACATTTAGCCNTAAAAGTGTATAAGGTTTTAACATTGAGCCTTTTAATTATGATGTGTCTTTGTGTGGGCCTCTTTGGGTTCATCTTGTTTGGGACTCTCTGTGCTTCCTGGACTTGTAAATCTACTTCTTTCATCAGGTAGGGAAAGTTTTCTGTCATTATTTTTTCAAATAGGTTTTTAATTTCTTCCTCCCTCTCTTCTCCTTCTGGTATCTCCATAACGTGAATGTTCATACACATGAAGTTGTCCCAGAGACTCCTAACGCTATCATTTTATTTCTGGACTCTTTTTTTCTTTTTGCTCTTCTGATTGGGTGTTTTTTGCTTCCTCATATTCCAAATTGCTGATGCCAAAGGTTAAAGACAAAAAGAGAATCTTTTTTTTTTTTTTTTTT